TGACTCAATGGACATGAGTTTGAGTAAACTCTGGGAGTTGGTGATGGACAGGGAGGCCTGGTGTGCTGCGGTCCATGGGGTCTCAAAGAGTCGGACATGACTGAGCTACTGAGCAACTGAACTGACAGATAATATTCCTCCTTTTTACTTGCACCTGGGTGTATATCTCCTCTCAATATCCCTTTTGCAATGCCACTACTGTAAGTTCTACATATGTTATCTGTTTTACCATGTAGAATAACTCTGCAAGGCATTGTTACCCCTTATTACAGATGAGACTTGAGGAGATTAAGACCTTCACTGGAGACAAGAGCAGAGTCAAGATTTCAACCCATCACTTCAGTCCTGCAAACCTTTTCTATTCTGACTATATCACCCTGCCTCCTCAAGTCAGCCTGGACAGTGTACCAGGGGCCGGGTTTTCTCTAGTCGAGGATTTGGTAGATTCTCATTGCTATCTCTTCTGCTTCTACCCTCATGGAGGGTATAGGGCCACTCTGGGCAATGGATAGATACCCATTCTGTCCCTGGTGACAAAAATAGTTTGGTTGTCTTTGGTCTATCAAGCTTTTAGCAAGTCAGCTTTGGTGGTGAAAAGGACTATGTAAAAGCAGTGACTAAATTTGGACCTATAGGACAGGAAAGCTGTCCTACTTTCTAATGCACTTGGCTCATTCTCAAGAAATAAACATAAACAGCACTGTAGCTTGTTTGTGATTAAATGCCAATCTCTTGCATGAAAAAGTTGACCTTTAAAAAATAGCTTAAAGTAAGCCAAATATCATGATGAACTATCAAAACTACTTCACCCTTGGTTAAAATGTGCCCTTTCTGTATGCCCCCAGTAAAAGGATGGATCCACGAGAGCAGTATATTGAGTTCAAAGCACTTGGGAATGCTGGCTTTGAACGGAACTAAACATTAAGCAGCAGCAGAAAAATGCTTCTTAACTGATTTTGAATTGCAGCCTTCTTTTTCCTATTTCCCCCATTTTAGGCCTCCTGTCTTCAATTCTGAATATTTATTGTTAAAATATACTTACCAAAGGTAGGTTAGTTCTTCTTTGTGGCTTTCGTGATAAAGAGTTTCTCTTGCTTGTAAATTGACACGCCAAATATTTTTGACTCAAGTCTAAACAAGACAAGCATATGGATTATATTTGTTTTGAAATAAACATGGCTTTAAGGCTTGTCTGTGGTAGAAATAGCACAGAGGGAGAGAGAAATACAAAAGTTTGGCCTTTTCTAACATCAAAACACTTGGAAATGTTTGGGGTCAGTTACAACCCCAGCAGAACAGATGTCTTCATTCTTTGAATTATCCTGTTATTCAGCTAGAATCCTACACCACTAGTCAGTTGCAGAGGGGCTGGCTGGAAACTTTCCTGCTCACTTTCCATCTGCCTCCTAACCCCTGGCCCTTATTTTATGGTGGAAGTTGACTATAGAGCTATCAAGCTCTTAATCTAATTTTCAGATTAAATTATGCTTTTGCCCTTAGTATCATTTTTGTCCATATGTGATCCATAGACCCAAGGAGTGTGTTAGAAATGCATATATCCAGCCTCCATGCCAGTCCTAATGAATCCACACCTTTGGGTAGAGCTTAGGGATCTGCATTTTAACCAGATTCCCAGACACACTGAAGTTCCAATCACTTTGTGTTCTAATCATTTCATATTAACTAAAGGTTTAGTCTTTCAAGTTAGCCTATGCATCCTTGGGCTATATCTAGGTAATAATAATTTTAGTACTGCTTAAGGTTTTAATTCCACTAGTGTTTATTGATCTCCTACATTTATGCCAGGCATTTTCATGATCATGATTTCAGATAATGATAAATTATCCAGTGAAGTATTTTATCTCATAATAAAGATGAGAAAGCTGAGGCACCCAGATGTTAGGTGACTTGTTCATACAGGTTTACACAAATAGTTAATGGTGGAAGTAAGATTGAATCAGGTTTCTGACTTCATTCAGTTCAGTTCAGTTCAGTTGCTCAGTCGTGTCTGACTCTTTGCGACCCCATGACTCGCAGCATACCAGGCCTTCCTGTCCATCACCAACTCCCGGAGTTTACTCAAACTCATGTCCGTCGAGTTGGTGATACCATCCAGCCATCTCATCCTCTGTCGTCCCCTTCTCCTCCCGCGCCCAATCCATCCCAGCATCAGGGTCTTTTCCAATGAGTCAACTCTTCGCATGAGGTGGCCAAAGTACTGGAGTTTCAGCTTCAGCCCTTCCAATGAACACCCAGGACTGATCTCCTTTAGGATGGACTGGTTGGATCTCCTTGTGGTCCAAGGGACTCTCAAGAGTCTTCTCCAACACCACAGTTCTAAAGCATCAATTCTTTGGTGCTCAGCTTTCTTTATAGTTCAACTCTCACATCCATACATGACCACTGGAAAAATCATAGCCTTGACTAGACATTTGTTGGCAAAGTAATATATCTGCTTTTTAATATGCTGTCTAGGTTGGTCGTAACTTTCCTTCCAATGAGTAAGCATCTTTTAATTTCATGGCTGCAGTCACCATCTGCAGTGATTTTGGAGCCCCAAAAAATAAAGTCTGACACTGTTTCCACTGTTTTCCCATCTATTTGCCATGAAGTGATGGGGCCAGATGTCATGATCTTAGTTTTCTGAATGTTGAGCTTTAAGCGAACTTTTTCACTCTCCTCNTGCCTGGCTTTAGGTGAGTGATCACCCCATCGTGATTATCTGGGTCGTGAAGATCTTTTTTGTACAGTTCTTCTGTGTCTTCTTGCCACCTCTTCTTAATATCTTCTGCTTCTGTTAGGTCCATACCATTTCTGTCGTTTATCGAGCCTATCTTTGCAAGACATATTCCCTTGGTATAGCCCAACTGATATCTCTGCTATCGTTGTTCTTTTGCCTAAATATAAGACCCTGGTGCTGGGAAAGATTGAAGGCAAGAGGAGAAGGGGATGGGAGAATGAGATGGTTATGTAGCATCAGTGACTCAGTAGACATGAATTTGGGCAGACTCTGGGAGATAGTGAAGGATTCGGGATCCTGGCGTGCTACAATCTATGAGGTTGCAGAGTCAGACACCACTTAGCAACTGAGCCGCAACCACAACTGAGCTTCTACCACAGATCAGGTACTGTTCTTAGTGCAGGAGATGAAGTAAGAGAAGATGAGACCCCTGCCCATGAGACCCCATTCTCATGGGAGAAGACAGATAGTAAACAGCTCAAATGCACATAAGCACCCCATTAAAGAGCATGTGATAAATGGTGATTCTAATTCAGAAAAATTATTCTTATCATCTTTATTGTCACATAAAACTAAATAAGACACTATTAGTCTTTAGGGCCAATAAAGTTCTTAGTTTTTATATCCACAGATGATGTAAGAATTGCCGATAAATGTTAATTAATGAGAGTTGTTACCAAGGAAATATATAATCTAGAAATTTGCTTCTATCTCATCAACAATCTTAGCTGTGATCCACTGGTCAGACAGGAAAGAAATTTTTAAGCTGTTTAAGCACTTAACTAGGTGACACATCAGGTATACATTCTTTCTGATTACCTTGAGCGTCTTGGCCTCCAGATAATTGGAAATGGATTTGAAAAATAACAGAAGTAAGTATCTCCACTCTTGAGTTAGCTATGGAGTCATGTGGGCTCTATGCTTATTATATTTTGAAACAATCTTGAACACTTACCAGAGAGCACTTTTATTTACTTCTTCTACCTCAATTGTGGTTCTGCATTTCCTGAAAGCAAAATTAAAATGAGTGACTAATGTGAAATAGAGAGGGAGGGAGGGAAGGAGACAGAGAGAGAAGTCTCCCATGTCTTTTCCTGAATCCAGTGAGGTTGCCTGACAACAAAGCTCTTAAATTCCTTTCGCCTATTTCCCTGTAGAAGTACCTTCTTTGAGTTTCACTTCTCCAGGCTCTTGAGGGAGTTTATGAAAGGAATAATCACTGAGGACTCTCTCTGTCCCCTCTCAAAATGGCTTTTGAGACATTGCTCCTTCTGTTTTCCTAAGCTATTTTGAGGATTCATGTAAAGAGTTATTGGAACTTAATGCTCAGAGAAATTTTATTCTCATGACCAACTCTACCTGAGATGTCCTTCTCTCTGTGAATGCCTGGCTGAAGCTCCATTCATTCAGCTCATTCCCTTCTTACTCACTGTCCCCCTTCTGAGGAGCTAATTATCCCATCTCTGCATTTTGAACATGGCTTCTGCAGCTGAGTTTTTCTCAGTTTCCTTGTCTGTCTTCCTCAGTGTTACCCTGAGTTACCCTGAGGTAATAATCATGATTTAGTCATCTCAGATTCCATTCATCACAGTGGGTACCATATGTAACATTTTTTGAATTTAATCTAATTGGTGTAAGTTTGAGACTAGACTGTTCTGAATACTGAGAAGTTGTTCTAATAACTGAGAGTGACTGGGAAGTTATAGAATCTGTCCCAGGTGTCACCAAGGGATGTACAACTTGGTGGGAAAGGGGGCACAACAAAATCAGGGGTGTTATAATGAAAGAAATTAATCTCTTTCCTATGAATAGTGCTAGACTGTTGAGACCACTCAACAAACTGGTTGCAGTTGGGCTGGCTATAAGGACTGTCTTTGCAGTTGTAACCCAGAATCCAGTCTCCGTTCTTTTGGTGATAGGTGGCTTATTTTGCTTTAGAGAATTATCTCTCTACTGCCATATATATATCTCTTGTGGACTGCCAGTTAAGGCACCAGCTCTTTTAGCCCAAAAGGGGACATGTGGTGTGATGTAAGACCAATCTCTCATGAGAAACTGAATCTTGAAAACACAGACCAAAACCTAATAATGCTGGTGCTCTTTCATGTGTGGATCCTAACTCTCAGTGGTATTTGTTCCTGTCTCCCCTGATTTATTCATTCATTTACTCAATGAATATTTACTGTATATTTTTTGAGGTCTCAGGGATTTTGTTGGTAACTCCCTTATCTGTCAGATGGGGCTGACATTCTGTGGTGGTTCTTTACTTTTCCTCTTCTTAGAGCTACCTCATATCCTTCTAATGCATTCTTTTTCTGCTGTGTGAGCTGAGCTGGTTTCTGTTGCTTGCAACCACAACCATGACTGATCCCCTGATCATGTCCACTGTCCTTACCTTCCCTATCTGATCCAGCTCAGGTTCATTTCACCACACTGCCAAACATACCCCAAAGCCCAGTTATACTACATTGTAACATACCCTGGGCATTGGCTGATTGTTTTCAGATTTGACTATTTGATAAAGACACGGAAGACTGTGAGGACTCTTGGAGGACTCCAAGGCACAGGTTTTTATCTTTTTTCCCCTTGGTTTATGACTCAGGGTACTTTCTCATGACTTTGTACACATTGCTTCTTCCTATTAGAATGCTCCTCTTTTTCTACCATTGCCTACCCAGGAAAATTCCGTCTTTGAGACTCGGTTCAAAGATCACCATTATTTTCAACCTCTGCCTCAACAGTTTATTCTGTACTAGGAGCAGGGGCATGGACTTTAGAACCAGTCTGCTTCATTCACTAGTTCTGTATCCTTGGGTAAGTGGCTTAAACTCTTTGAGCGTCAGTTTGTTCATATGTGAAATGGGGATAATAACTACTGCCCCTCTCTGGGCTGTTGTGAAGATGGAATGAGATGGTACGTGTAAACTGCCTGGCTCAGTGCATGATCCAGAACCATTCTTGAAGTATTTTAGTTTCTTTAATATCAGTTTAGGTTTCAGCAAGAAATTACACTGAAATTAGGATAATTTACAAAGTTGGGAAGAATACAAGAGAATTACAAGGGGGTAGTGCAGTAATCTAGGGTTAATAAGAGTGGAGGAAGAGCTGACACCAAGCCTGAAGGGACTGGGAGGGAGAGGTTTGTCCAGAATGTGACATTGAGATGATCAGTGACCTGGAGTGGAGGGACATAGCTAAGTGACATTGCAGAAAGAGGGATGGGAGTAAGTACTGTCACCTCATTCTCCTCTTGTCTCCTCTCAGTGTTTCCAATGGGAAGCCAGGGGCCAGGAGCCTGTTGATCAAGCCCATACAGGTCAGCTTTCCAGTCTATGGAGCAGGGGAAAAAGAAAGGAAAGTAGGTTGGGAGAAGTGGACCAAAGGAGCCAGGTCAATCATTTAATCTCACTATATTCAAGTACAGAAAAAGAAAAGAAAATTCGTTTAAGTGGCCCCATTTCATTTTTTCAGGTAAAATCATATACAATTACTGTTTTGTAGGTAAAAAAGTGTGGTGTATTAGTACTTTCTCATGGCCAACTCAATAGTCATTCAGCCTGGTATAATAATTTAAGGTTGTCAGTAACCTACTGATAACCCCAGCCAAGGCCCCCACTTTTTCCTGCACTGTAACATGTTTTATGTGTAGCCGAAGGCTAAGGTTCATCTCTGGACTATGGCCTCCCCAACACGATGCCTGAGTAACATGGGCCAACAGCTCCAGTGTTCTGGATGTTTCTAGGGTAGCTGGTGGAAGAAGAAAAATTATCTGGAGCTTAACCTTCTTGATTTACCTCCATTTCCCTCTATATTCCACCTACTCCTTGATCTAGGAAGAATAGATATTTTAGTGCCTCTCCTCCCTGACAAGCTGGAATGTTGCCTCTCATTGTCTCCTCTTTCCTAGCCTTGTGACTTATTTAGCCTCTGTGATAAAAGGGATCAGGAAGAAAAGCTAGCTTCTCCATAAAGGAACAAAATTAGGAAGCAATTAAAAATATTTGTTATATTTGTCCCTAGTTATAATTCAGAAGCCCCTAGAATAGATAGTGTGTGTATTGGGTTATACCATTAATTTTTTTTATTCTTTAAAAAAATTTTTTTTAAATTGAAGGATAATTGCTTTACAGAATTTTGCTGTTTTCTGTCAAACCTCAACATGAATCAGCCATAGGTATACATATATCCCCTCCTTTTGAACCTCCCTCCCGTCTCCCTCCCCACCCCACCCCTCTAGGTTGATACAGAGCCTCTGTTTGAGTTTCCTGAGTCATTCAGCAAATTCCTGTTGGCTATCTATTTTACATATGATAATGTAAGTTTCCATGTTACTCTTTTCATACATCTCACCCTCTCCTCCCCTCTCCTCATGTCCATAAGTCTATTCTCTATGTCTGTTTCTCCATTGCTACTCTGTAAATAAATTCTTCAGAACCATTTTTTCTAGATTCTGTATATGTGCATTAGAATGCAATATTTATCTTTCTCTTTATGACTAACTTCACTCTGTGTAATAGGTTCTAGGTTCATCCATCTCATCAGAACTGACTCAAATGCGTTCCTTTTTATGGCTGAGTAATACTCCATTGTGTGTATGTACCACAACTTCTTTATCTATTCATCTGTTGATGGGCATCTAGGTTGCTTCCATGTTTTAGCTATTGTAAATAGTGCTGCAATGAACAATGGGATACATGTGTTTTTTCAACCCTGGTATATGGGTTACCAGGGTAACCTAGGAGTGGGATTTCTGGGTCGTATGGTGGTTTTATTGCCAGTTTTTTAAGGAATCTCCATACTCTCTTCCATAGTGACTGTATCAATTTACATTCCCACCAACAGTGCATGAGCTTCCCCTTTTCTCCACACCCTCTCCAGCATTTATTGTTTGCAGACTTTTTGAGGATGGCCATTCTTACCCATGTGGGGTGATATCTCATTGTGGTTTTGAGTTTCATTTCTCTAATAATGAGCGATGTTGAGCATCTTTTCCTGTGTTAGCCATCTGCATGTCTTCTTTGGAGAAATGTCTGTTTAGGTCTTTTTCCCATTTTTTGATTGGGTTTTTTGTTTTTCTGGCATTGATTTGTATGAGCTGCTTGTATATTTTGGAAATTATTCCTTTGTCAGTTGTTTCATTTTCTATTATTTTCTCTCATTCTGAGGGTTGTCTTTTCACCTTGCTTATAGTTTCCTTTGCTGTGCAAAAGCTTTTAAGTTTAATCAAGTCCCACNGATTGATTCCTTAATTTCTCTTTTTGATTTTTCATTATTAGTATATAGAAATGCAAGTGATTTCTGTGTATTGATTTTGTATCCTGCAGCTTTGCTAAATTCACTGATTAGCTCTAGTAATTTTCTGATACTATCTTTAGGGTTTTCTAAGTACAGTATCATGTCATCTGCAAACAGTGAGAGTTTTACTTCTTCTTTTCTGATCTGGATTCCTTTTACTTCCTTTTCTCCTCTGATTGCTATAGTTAGGACTTCCAGAACCATGTTGAATAATAGTGGTGAAAGTGCACACCCTTGTCTTGTTCCTGATCTTAGGGGAATACTTTCAGTTTCTCACCATTGAGAATAATGTTTGCTGTAGACTTATCATTTATGGCCTTTACTATGTTGAGGTAGATTCCTTCTATGCCCATTTTTTGAAGAGTTTTAATCATAAATGGGTGTGGAATTTTGTCAAAGGTTTTTTATGCATCTATTGAGATTATCATATGGTTTTTATATTTCAATTTGTTAATATGGTGTGTCACATTGGCTGATTTGCGTATATTGAAGAATCCTTGCATTCCTGGAATAAACCCCACTTGATCATGGTGTATGAGCTTTTTGATGTGTTGCTGAATCCTGTTTGCTAAAATTTTGTTGAGGATTTTTGCATGTATGTTCATCAGTGATACTGACCTGTAGTTTTCTTTTTTTGGGTTGTCTTTGGTTTTGGTGTCAGGGTGATGGGGACCTTGTAGAATGAATTTGTAAGTGTTCCTTCCCCTGCAATTTTTTGAAAGTGTTTTAGAAGAATAGGCATTAACTCTTCTCTAAATGTTTGATAGAATTCTCCTGTGAAGCCATCTGGTCCTGGGCTTTTGTTTTTGGGAGATTTTTGATCACAGCTTCAATTTCAGTGCTTGTAATTAAGTTATACTGTTAATTTTTTATTTTACTGGGAACAAATGAACAAAGATCCTTTCTTTGAGAGTTGGTTTTGATAGAAGTGGGGAGGAAAGAAATCTTATAGTCAAAAGCATTCATGACCAAAAAAAAGTGCAAATGAAATATTGGGGAGATAAACTTCAACCACTTCCTCTTGAAAGATATCAAATGGACCTGACCCTACTCAAAAAATTGTTTTCCTCCCTAGATTCAGCTGTGGGACCAGCCTCATTCATTTATTGATTTACGACAGTGCTTTAGGCTGAGTTGTTTCAGAATCCAGTTGTGTTTTATTTTCTGGTATT